GATGCTTTGCAAGCTCTTTTAACTTATAATCAATAATTTATCTTAAAAAAGTAGTTAAACTGTTTAATTTTTTAAAAATTTAAAAGAAATTGAAAAAAATTCAAAATTTTTAGACTGTTAAGGCTTTTTTATTTTAACATATTTTCAAAAAAATTTTTATTAGAGATTACAATTCTCATGTTAACAATTTTGTGCATTCATTTGTTAATATATCAATTCGAACATTTTTTATAGATTATTTTATAAAAAGTAGAAAAAAAAGGTTAGAAATTCCTGTTAGGTATATATAACATGCTGTAAAAATTATAATACCTCATAAAGTACTTATTCCATGCACAGTTTAAATAATTGCATAATACTTAAGATAAAAAAGTTTATTTCAAAGCCTTATCCTAAATAGGAAAAATTCCTTAGGGATTTAGTTAAGATTAAAACACAAAATTATCATCTATGAGAAAAAGCACTTTAAAGTCTGTCTGCTGATCAAGTTTCTCTTTTAGACTTCACATTTGACATGCATATATTGCACAGATGTATATACATATAGTGTACAGATGTACATTCACAAAATGTACATATGATATAATATGCATAAAATGTTCTTATAATGTACATATGTGTGTACATGCATTGTACATGTATTGTACATATATGTATATATATTCACTGCTTTGTACATATATCGGACATAAATCTTTCGTACAAATTTTGCATGTGCACATACATGTTATCCCAATACATGCAATATGTACAATGTATATTTGTCCAATAAATGTATCCACACATGTATGCTCCATCTATGCATATTCATACGTACTATGTATGAATGTATGTACATGCATTGTACATACTTACATACATTATGTAGAATACATTTATGTCTAAATTTATGTACAAAGCAATGAATAAAATATAAGTTAACTGATAACGACTCAAACAAGCTAAATAACAATATCAAACGATATTTAAGTTCAGTTTTCAGCTTTAATTGTTCTATATCATTTTAAAATTTTTTGAATACATAATTTTCAGGTATTTTCTTAATGTTTGACGCTACGAATTTATTTTGTTATTACATAATACATAGTTCATGGAAATTTTTAGATGAGAAAAAAAACGGTTAATTTTTCTATGTGGAAATAATATTTAGGAATTTTAAAAAAAAGATTATCGTTTGCTATCCAAAAAATAAGAGATTGAGTTTTACATGTCTTAGAATAAATTTTAAAACGAACGTTAATAGCTTTACTGTAATAATTTTTTTAATGCATGCACAATGTATGTGTACATTGTAAATACATATATTTAAATGTGCGCATGTATTCATACATTAAATGTAATTACGTTTATGTATACGTTGTATGTACATACGTACATTGTACATCCAACCATTTTTGTGCATCCATTCATTACATGTGCATGTATATTAACAAAGTATATAGTTATATAAGTACATATGTTGCATGTACAAACCATATATCTATGTACATGTAAATGTACATGCATGCATTCATTTTACACAACTATGTACATATAGTGTACCAATGAACAACATTCTTACATATTGTACGTAAATACGTACAGTGTATTTACATGAGTACATTGTATATACGTGCCATTATTGCAAATTTATATAATGTATGTACTTACGTACATAAATGCATGTATACGTATGGAAATTTTTTTCACGTAAGTTCATACATAAGTTGTCTATGTGTACAAACATACAAAACATTGCATTCGCATACAAACTAACATGCATGCGTACATGTATCATAAAATGCATAATTATGTGTACTAAGCATATGCGTATTGTATTATGTATATTGTACTTACAAACAAAGTTTGCGCAATCATTGTATATGTATATATACGAATCACAAATTGTACGTACATGCTGGCGTACATTCTATGTACATAAAAATATGAATCCCCATACATACTTGCATAATGTGTTTGCTTATAGTATACAATTGTAATTACTTGTAATTGTGTAATATGATTACAAGTAATCACAATTACTTGCAATCAAGATTACATGTAATCATGAATGCCTGCAATCAGATATTTTGATTACTTGTAATAATAATTACTCGTAATCGTTTTTGTTGTGATTACTTGTAATCGCTATTATTGAAAATCATGATTACAGTTGTAATCAAAATTTTGATCACAGCTGTAATCAAGATTATAAATAATTGATTGCTGTAGTCAATATTGTAATCATGATTACAGCTGTAATCAAAATTTTAAAAAAAATTGTGGTCACGATTAAAAGTAATTTATTACTGTAGTAGACTATTGTAATCACGATTACAGTTGTAATCAAAATTATGTTATCTTGTAATCATGATTACAAGTAATTGATTACTGTAATCGAAAAATGTAATCGATTACATTTTTGTCCAACACTGCGAGATACCCATACTACATCACTTGCAGGTGAAATTAAATTGCAGGTTTTTTAATATGAAATTACAGATGCTTTTTTAAATTAAACTACTCTTCGTGATCAACAAATTATCATATTGAGTTTAAAAGCAATAATTTTATATAAAAATTAATGAATAATATTTTAGAATTTGCACAATATTTTGATTCATGATTTGAATTTGAAATTTACAATCATTTTTCAACTTTTTTTTTCAAATTAAATTTTACTTAAGAAATAAAAGCATATTCATTTCCTACATTATATTGATTGCACAGCTATATTTTTTATAGTTTGTAAGTTGGGAGGAATTTGAAAGGCTCGCTTTACAAATTTTTTTTATACATGAATACTAGTAATAATACCCTTAATGTTTCAATTACATTGTGCTTTTATGGCCTGTGTTCATAAATAGGGAATAAAAAGGTTAAAATGATATAGTAACGTTTGAGTAAAGTAATACGCTGTCTTGCTTAAATAAAAACAATTAAACTTCTGTAATGCAAAAGTTAAAATTTTCATTTGCAGTATTTGAAGCTGATAAATATCAGGTAGTTATTATTCTATTAGTTCGAAACAAGATTTTAAATTTTTCAACCTTCATTAAAATGGCTATAACATTAAATTTAAGACATTAAATAATTGTTTGTTCGTATAAAAAACTTTCGTATGTTAATAAAACTGTTCGAATATCTAATTAAATTCTCATTAGAATAGTTTTCATAAATTATATAAATGATGATTTTGTAAAACAGTATCCTAACAAAAAGTTTCAAAGACTGATAGGAATAGATTTTTTTTCTCACTGATTATAATAAATTAAATAATTGAGTATGAAAATGATAAGGTATGTTCTATTTACAATGTTTTGAAAAGCAGTTTAATGGCATGACAGTAAAACAACAAATCGAATTAAAAGTTTTAAAATATATTCAGTATAAAATAAAAAACTAATAAAAAAATATTTTTCCAAGTTATGCAAATCAAATAAAAACAGAATAAGAATAAAATATGCGAAAAAGAAGAACAACTCACTTATGACATTTCAGTCTCTGATAAAATGGTTCATCTAGTAGAACTAAAACGCAAACGATTATTCTTTTGCTTAATTTTTTAGTTTATATTATTTGGATGTTACCGTCCCACTAGAGCAGGCAATTTTCAATCTGCTTATTCTAATTTATTAATTAAATCATTAAATGGTTACTAAATTAAATATAAAATATTCATTTAATATTTTTTTAAAAATTAGATACTGAATTAACTGTTAGTTAAACGGTATTATATAATTATTATTATCCAGAAATCAAAAAAATTCCGATGAAAAAATTTATACGATGTTATTAAAATTAGTGATGAGATGATTTTATAATACAGAAGTTTTTAATAATAAAATTAATCAAATTGATGAAAAATGATTGAGAAATTAAAAAATTTATTTTTAAATAATATTTTCGCAGTTCTTTTTTTTTTCTTTTGCAATTTATCCTCGGTGTAATCAACATTAATTAATTTAGTCCTCACAAGGAATCGAGTTTGACATTTCTGCTCTACTCTAAGGAAAATCGACTCTACGTAGAACCATAAACCCGTATAAATTTTCAGAAACCTAAATAACTAATTAAACTGAATGCTATCACTGTTTTACTTGAAACATAGTTTCGTGTTATCTAGTTTTAGGAGAATTAAATTTCAAAACAAGGTTTTTAAAATTGTCACCTTTTTTAAGGTTTCTGCAAATTTGAACGATATTATTCTGGTTCAATATTATGATCCGAAACAACTAATGGGCTTTCGGTCACAACAGCTTTGGAAGTCTTGACTGCGATTAAATTAATGAATGACGAATAATAATAATAATAAAAAAATGTAAAAGTTGGTAACATTGCATACTCAAATCGATCGGCATTTGTGGTAATTTTGTAACTTTTTTACAGTGTAATAAAATAATTTTTCTGATACCATTTTACAGAAATTATTTCGAAACAATTGAAACTTTATCTTTGGAGCATGCTAAATGTCATAATATAATTTACAATTTCTGAAAGATAGTATTAGTTAAGATAATAATTTAATTTTGTTTGATAAATACCTTTCGCATTAAATTTTACATATATTCTAAAAATGTCTTTTCAGGAATGTTACCAATAGAATAAACACGGGATTTCTGGTTTTCAGAATAGTTTTCATAAGACTAATCCCTGACGTTGTCTTAAATTCCTTTACGTAGCGTCTTGTAGCCCCATACATAAATTTTTCCCATAGTTAGAACTAATTAGTTGCAAATCGTTTAAAAATTTTAGTATCATGACATTGTGGTGAGTATACGCATTCATATAAAACTAATAATATGTATATGGTTTATGCAAAGATTGAAATAATAAATGAATGTGTATGATACAAATTATGTTTTTCACGTTTAAGCTTCTAATATTATACATTTCATTACACTTTATGAATTATGTATTTTGGAACAATATATGTAAAATCAAGAAGAATTTTATGCAGCTCAAATAACAATTATTCGAATAATGAACAGAATTAATGCGTGCAATGAGTTTAAACTTACCATTTCTGAGAATCCGCAAGTACAAACTGGTAAAGAATGGTTAGAAGTATGTAGCACATGGTAAATATGAACATTTCCCTGTATACCACTTTCCAAACACTACCCCTCCATCTAAAGAGCAGACGAATAAAGCCCCCAGAGGCCGAAGAAGCCACATCATATTGATAACTCACTGTCATCGCGTCCGAGGATGACTCGTCTTCTGCTTCTTCTCCGGCACTCTGGGACTGCTCCTCAATTTTCTTCGATTCCGTCGTTCTACCCTAACTAACCGCCTTTCTTTTTGATCCTTTTAAAGCTGAACTATATTTTATATTTGGTAAATTATTATAAAAAATATTATTTTATTAGCAGCTTAGATTTGGTAACACCACAATTAGAAATGTTCTCTGAATTGTGATAGGATTTTTATTCCTTTACAGGAGTCTTTTGTTCTGTATGTTTATGTGCTAGGTATTTATCACCGTACCTAAACACATTTTTCCTGTTATTTATGAAGTTCTCAATTAATTGTTTTTATTATTAAATGATCTTTCCCAACTCGATACATTTATTTTCAATCTTTGTTTTTGATAAAGTTTTTCACCTTTTGCTTCTCGCTTCATTTTCATGGTATTAAAAGTTAAAAATCAGAAGTCACTTTTTTGGCAGCACGTTAAAAATAATAGAAATATTCCAATTAAAGTCACATTATTTTCTTCTTAATTTCCTAGCATTTAAATATTCTGCATTAAATTTAAACCGAGGATTTCCTTTCTGGAAAGAAAAAAAAAATAGTCTGCACAAAATTTAATAAGAGCTATTCTCGTGTTATTATCCAAAATGTCATCGGTGAAATTTATTTTTGATACACAAATAGTTTAGCAGTAGTAGCACTCTCGTTTTAAAATTCAAATTTCGAACGGTATTTCGAAATTAAATTTTTGATGTACAATCCATAAAGCAATCATAGTATCACATCGGAAGACAAAAGTGCCAGTTTGCAATTCTTTCAAAATATCAAAAGTCAAACATCACTAAGTCAATCTCCAAAACGACCTGTGTAAACAATGTCAATTAAAAATCATCCACGTAATCAACATTCCTTTCAATAAGAACGGAGTCGACGAAGAAAACAATCAAAAAGAAGAATCTCGCCAGGAAATTAAAAGTGAGGATGGAAAAAATCGTTCTGCTCCAGATCTTGATAAATCGAAATTCGTCACCAAGCTTAATGAGAGGCAGTTGAATATCCTGCGGCAACGTTTTACCGTAAAATATTCTCCAGGTTCTCCTTTCGTGTTACTCCCGTTGCAAAAGAAGTCACAGAAGAGGAAGAGAGAAGAGTTAGTTGTCCTTGGCCAGCACTGGTATCTCGAGCTCTGGGTCTAAATTCAGATTTGGCACTGCGGTTGTGGGAAATAGCAAGACACAAATGCTTTTTCTCCGTCTTCACGATGAAAGCGCACAAATGTCGAAACGTTGTGTGACAAAGATTTTAACAACCTTTGGGTCAGTTTTCTTTTTGAGAGAGTATTTTAAACAAATACAATTTTTTTTAAGATGATTAAAATTACGAATAATTCAGAAATGTTATTCTTAGTTAAGACTAATATTTTCTTCGTCTTCGTATTGAAAGGTCACAAATGTCGAAATGTTGTCGAATAAAGATATTAATAACCTTAGTGTTCAAAGAGCAGACAAAATAATACCAGTTATATATGATACTTAAAATAATAATTATATTTCTTCAAAACATGTTGAATTACTTCTCTGTCTTCGCTGTGAAAGCGCTAAAAGTCAAACGCTGTGTGACAAACATTTTAACAACCTTTGAGTCAGTTTTCTTTAAATAGATGCAAATTTATATGATGATTAAAATGACAAGCATGAATAATTCTGAAAATTATTCATAATACGACAAATATTTTCTCCGTCTTTATGTTGAAAGCGTACTAATGTTGTATAAGATTTTATTAACCTTAGTATTCAAAGAGCATATTCAAACAATAACATTTTTAAATGATATTTAAGATCAAACTTATAAATATTTCTGCTAAATATACTGAATTATATTTTCGTCATCGCCAGGAAAGCGCTAAAATGTCAAAACGTTGTGTAGCAAAGTGGACCTTTTGGTCAGTTTTTATTTGCAAGAGTGTATCAAGCAATGAAAATTTTATATGATGATTAAAATAGCAATTATGAATCACTCTGAAAATTGTTCTCAATTACTACAAATATTTTCTCCGTCTTCAAGTTGAAAGCGTACAAATGACGAAGCGTTTTAACAACCTCTTTGTTCAAATAGCACATTTTATTTCATAACTGTCGATGAACAGCCGACCCAATTTTTTGGGTTTACGACTCCTAATGTTCAACTCCATAGCCTTGTAATTTTGAACCCAATCCAGAAGATAAGGGAACTCCTGGAAAGTAATGGGTAAACTCTGCTTTGGGAGGACTTTTTCGATGGAGATAACATGGTTTGACATGATAACATGATTTGAGTTACATGGAGAAGAAAACCATGAAAAACTCCCACGCTTAGCCCAACTAGGGACTCTAACTTATGATCCATCTACCAATGAGGATATTTTGAGTCAGCACTGAGGTCGGCGCTGACTTCGTACCGACGAACAATCGCTGGGATTCGAACCCGGTTCAACTCATTGGAAGGCGAACGTGCTGTCCCTTGAGCCACCAAATAGCATATTAAATTATATCAATTTTAAAAGATACTTAATTATTGATATTTTTGCAAAATTTTTATAAATTATTTTTCTGTTTCCGTCCTAAAAGCTCATAAACGTCGAAACATTGCAAATTTTAAAAAAAAACCACAATTATTAATCTTAGATGTGAGAATAGTAATTTTTTAATAAGAACTAAACGTTTTTGAGGTCTCATAAATATTTAATATGGATGCCTGCGAAAGTATCCATTGTTCTTCTGTTCGTTTTTAATTAAACAATTAAAAACAAACATCCGAACTGAGACTTGTTCTAAAAGAATGAAACTTGACACTTTTTGCATTGACAGGCCTTTTAAGGAAATGAGCTTTAAATGACTTCTTTATTGTATATTCAAAAATCTATTTTTCCCATTTAATTATAAAAAAATATAAATAAAAGTGTTAAAAAAATCTTACGTAGAGCCGAAATTAAATTAGCAATACACATGTAGTAAATTTCAACCACACGTGGGTTGTAACAAAAAACAGTGTGCATTTTTATAAATTTATGCTGTCGAATTATGTTTCAAAAGAATAAAAAAATAATTTTTATAAAATTCCATACATGATTTTTTTTTAAATCTTGCAAGCAGATTTATTATTTAATTTTTATTTATTTATTTAATTTCAAACAAATTAAGAACAAAAAATTTGACGCCACTTTTACTTTTAGAAATATAAATAATTCAGGAAATCAGCTTGAAAGATTTTTTCCTTGAAAAAATGTAACTTTAATTATCAATTACAAATATTTACTATTTTGCCACTAAAAAAGTTTTATAAGAAAACAAAAGTTAAACTGCATCAGAAATAATAAAAAAATTTTAATCAAAACCATTAAGTTCTATATAATATATTAATTTAAATTTTACGCGTTGTTAGAATTTTAAATGGCCTATAGTAAATAATTTAAAAATTATTATCGTTTCCCAAAGAAGAAAACAGTGTTACAGAGCATGTACAGTGCACAAAGTAAAAAACAGACCACCTTGAACAACTTTTAATCTAATGATCAGATCTTCACGTTCAAGGACTCAATCATAATGGTTCCAAAGAATGATCTCAAATATGCTAATTAATTAGTTCAGACGATAGTTTAAATTACGAAATAAGACACAAAAACTTTCTCTGAATAAACATATCTTTTTGCCAACAGATTCGGATTTCTAATCCCTAAAATATAGGGAGTAGCCGAAATCTGGGAAATATGGTCCCCATAGTTTGGTTAGAAGAGTGGTCCAAAGTTGGGAGCCCTTAATGTTAATTTTACTTTTTGCGCATTTCGCCATATCTCGAGAATTTTTTAAGCGAATTGAAAAATTTTAGCACACACTTATAAAATTCGTTTATTCGAAGATAATTCTATGCAAAAAATAAATAAATTTCAGTATATATATTTATTATTTTAAAGTATGTAACTAAATTTGAGTGAAATCGGTTGAACAGTTTCTGAGAAAGGGAATTTTAAAAAAGTTGTATAGTAAAAATTCGATTTCTCAGGAACTATTTAACTGATTTCGCTCAAACTTTATATTTTGCATTGTAAAATTGCATACTTTAGTATGATGTGAAACATTTTTATACCTTTTTTGACTATTATTAAATAATAAATATCTACTAAAGTTTATTTTTGCAGGGAATTATCTTTGGATAACGAATTTAATTTTATAATCGTGTAATTTTATAATCGAATTTAATTTTATAATCGCACGAAAAAACTTTCGAATAACGCTTTTAAAAAAAATACGCAAGTTATTTCCTGATAATCTGAACGAATTTTTAGTAACTATTCGAGTGTTTTTTATAATTAAAAATTACCTAAATATATTTTTGCTTATAACTGGAGCATCAGAATTTTTTTTTTTTAAACGGACACCAGTCTCCAATCTACGTCAAAAGATTATTAATATGCTACCTCTGTAAGTAAGAAACCATAAGAAACTCTACCACAGTAAGAAAATTTTAATCATAAAGCATCTTTTATGGTAATATCATGTTACTATTCATAAAGCACCTTTTATGAACGGTAGCATCTTCACTTGAATTCCATAAATAACTATCATTGTGGTTTACCGATTTTTTTTATACTATCGTTTTGAGGTTTTAAAAGAAAATAAATAAAAAAGCAAATGCTACAGTTTGATTATTCCCAGCATTTTCAATCGGATAATGCAATGCAGTATGTCCTTTAAATTTAAGTATAAAAAATGTACGAAGACACACGATATGTATAGATAATCTTCAAAAAGTTAGCATCGGAGTTTCCCCCCCCCCTTGTCATTTGAACGGTACCCATAAAAAAACACTCGGAAATGTCGTGTAATGTTTAAACTCAAATCCCTAAAAATCCCTTGCGCATCCGAAAAATTCAACAAGTTTCACTCTCCCACTAAAGGAAGAATTAATCAACTATGGCTCTCAAAATCGAGGTAAATCAGTTTTCCATTTGAGACCCTTTATCGTCGTTGGCATCATAAAGATTTGGCGAGTAATGATTTACGGAAACAGGTGCGGTTTTTCAATAGAGTTCCTCCGCCCACTCCATCAATCATTCAGGTAGGGGAGAAACTTTTAGGCGAGACCTATAAGACAGCAATTTTTCAATTTGCTTAGAAAGTTCTCGAGATATAGCAAAATACGCAAAAAGTAAAATTAACTCGAAGGGGTTAAAAATTTGAACCGCTCTCATGACCAAAGTATCGGAACTATATTTCGAGGGTAAGAAAATTGAATCCATCGAAAAAAAAGGTATGTTTCAGACAAAATACGTTTTTGTGTCTGATTTCGTAATTTAAAATATCATCGCACTAATTAATTAGCATATTTGAGATCACCCCCTTCAATCATTAAGAATGAATCTCAGAATGGGTTATATAGGGTTGTCTGTTTTTTTTTAGCACTGTACATATGGTTTTTGCATAAGTTTATGAAAAGAAAAATAGTAACATAAAAAGAAAACAACAAGTAGTTGTAGGCTAAAAATGGAGGGTAGAATCGATTTAAGCAAAAGTAAACATCAAAGTAGTAAACTTGCTTACTAATAACACATTTATCATAGAAGTAACACTTTTAGGTAGTTTAGGTAAGCAATTACAATTATCAAATTCAAAACTCTCAAACCAAAGTATTTCAAGAATCAAATGAATTGTCCACTTATTTGCACAATTAAATAGAAATGCGTAATTACATTTTCAGGAAAAAAAAGTTGTTTTTTTTTAATTACACCAATTTTGCGCTGCGAATTTGAGAAAATTATCCTGAGAATTGAGAAAATTATGAAACTCATACAGATGATATACTCACATAAAAAAAATTTAAATTAACCACTTAATTATTTTTCTAAGTTAAAGATTAAAAACACAGAAAATGTGTATTAATGGATAATTTGAACTTTCTTCTGCCCCTGATGAAAGGAATAAGTCTCATAATAAGTCTCACATCGATGTCTTTCACATCAATGACTAAATAACTATACATAAGGTACTAGCATGTGCGTATATTGTGTATACGTAAATAACTATATACTAGCACATTATACTGCTTGCATTTATATTTAATATGACTCCAAAAGTAGGAAACTCGATTGAAATTTTATAACAATTCCAATATGACTTTATGTTTAATATGCTTTCACTCCTGAATCATTTTAGGAAAGAAAAGAAAAATTGAATGAACGATAAACTTAACTCTTTTTTTCCTATATAAATAAACAAATTCCATTTGCTCAGTGTGAAAATTTCTCTGTATTTAATAAATAAATAAAAATTACTAGCCAACCAAATTTAAAAAAAAAATGCTTAACTACTGCTCATGTCACTAGTCAACGTTTTAACAATAATTTCTCAAAAGGAGATTTGTTTGCAAGCAAAGAAACATGAAAACCACAATAAAAGAAGTACTTGACAGAAGAGCAGTGTTGCCATGTTAGAAGAATCCATAAAAGTTTTTGTTCAAAAACAGAGCAAGATGTGAAAAAATTAAGAAATAATTCTATGAATACAATTTAATTTTTTAAGAATATTTACTGCAAATAAATATTTCTTTGCTTGCAAACCGCATTGAAAAAAGTAGTTGACAAAACAGAAGCGTTGTCATGTTAAAAGAATATATTAAAGTTATTTCGGTTTAGAAATAGCACAAGATGTGAAAGAACTAAGAAGTAATTCTATAAATACAATTTAATTTTCAAGAAAAATTTAATTTTTATTAAATAATTAATTTAATTTTTTAACTGCTGTTACATAAAAGTTTAATGTTATAATAAAAGTATGCATTCTACGTAATTTCAAAAATAATTTTATTAAAAAATCGATCTTTATAATTGTATAAAAACAATTCACATTATTTTTAAATAAATGTGAGCATTTGCTAAAACATGTATCAGATTTATTTTTTCTTCTTTCAAAATTATATATTTACAAATGCAACTAAGTGAATTGTACAATGCTATTTACAAATATGAATAACTGGTTGTTAAAATTTTCTATAAATTATTATTTTCCTATTAAAGATTTAGTTTCTTCTGCTTCTTTGATTATATCAAGAGAAGCATACATCTTCATAAGCTCATCTTTCTTCTTCTTCAATAATGCTTCTTCAAACTAAAAAAACACAAAATACATAATACAGATAACATATTAATATTAAAATACATATTGTAATCAAAAAAGTTATTAGAATCAAAAAAGTCTTTAAAAGTTATTATAGTAGTTTACCTCTTGTTGAGTAGGAACCGGTACATGAGCAATGAATCTAAACTGATTAGCATCATCAGCAGTATCTTCTTCTTCTTCTTGCATAGCCTCTTCATCACTCTTTAAAAATAAAATAAAATAAATATTAGTCATTTTTAACGACTATTATTTTAATAAAATCATTACTTCACTGAAGGTAAACTGTACCTTGTTACATTTACATATTGCAAGTTGGGTAAGTTTTATTTTATTAAATTATTTTTCTTAATTCAATGTCCTTCTATGAAGTTAATATTCTAGAGTTGAATATGATTTAAATGGAAAAATTATGTGACATTAAAATGTAGTTGTATGCATTGAAGTGGTAAAACTTCAAACTACATTACTCCCAAACAATTTTCATACAAATAAATTTATTGTAGTGAAATTTTGTATCTGAGAGTGATAGAAATATTTATTATAAAACAATATTTATACGATGAATTAAAGTTAAAATAAGCACTTTAAATTGCTTATTGAAAAAGGGACCAAAATCAAATATCATAAATTGTAAAAATGAACACTTCAATCTCAAAAAATGCTCTAAAAGAGAATAAAATAACAAGGATACAAATGTCAACAAAATCCAAGACTCTTTTAAAAAAATTCTGGAAGAAATTTTAACGCATTTTTTTAAAAATGAAGCAAACAAAGTTTTAAACACTATAAAAATGGAACAGAAAAACCTGTTGTTAATCTGCTCATTTTTTATACTGCTTTATGATGTGTTAATTTGTAGCATTCATAAAATTATTCCTCGTAATTTTTTATGAGGCTGAACACATGTGTGAATATAAATTGCAATATGAGATTTACAAATCATGATGTAGCATTGAAAAACTATTGATTATAATCATTAATAGCACTGGAAAAGCAAATGTTTCAATCACAGTCATCTTCCAGTATTTTATTAATCATTTATAGTATGTTGTGCTTTCTTCATTTAATCCAGAAAAACTCAATGGTTACTGGTATACAGAGGGCCACGTGCCACAATAGCACAGTTGTTAAAGCCCTGAGCAGTCATTGCATAGGACCAGGATTCAATCTCCTTGAAGCTTACACAGCTTCAGATAGTTGGGAACCAGTTTGTGTGGGAGGTAAAGGTAGACAGTGCACAGTGTTAACCACACTTCAAAATCAAAATTCTTGTGAAATTGAAATTGCCAAGCCCCACAGGACACATATGTTCATCAATAAATCAAAAATGTGTGACATGTGGGCATTACAATAGTTTTAACCTAAGAAAGTTAAGAAATCCATGTATTAACAACTAATTGCTTTAATTTATTGTCAAGGCTCTTTTTCTTAGCCTTCACGTTCAAATGACAGGGATGAGAGTAGTCAGAAAGTAAAAAAGAGGAAATCCAAAAAAAAAAAAAAAAAAAAAAAAAAAAAAAAAAAAAAAAAAAAAAAAAAAAAAAAAAAAAAAAAAA